TTTAATTTTGAAAAAATAAATATAAAGTAGTACATGGATAATACATCAAAAAAAATGAAAAAAAAAAGTAACATTTTTATCATACTGAATAAATTTAGATATAAGGCACTTGACTGCTTACCAGAAGGCTGTCTGTCAGTTCAAACCCACCAGCCACTCCTCAGAAGGAAGGTTGGGCAATCTACTTCCGTAGTGATACCGCCTCGGAAACCCAAGGAGGGGTCACTATGAGTCGGGTCCAATTCAACGGCACATAACAGCAACAACAGTTTTTAATAAACTATTTCAGTTAAAGTTGAATGTCCCCATTTCCCTGCCTAATTCCATTGTTCTTCCATCTTCCCCAAGGGCAAACATTATCATGAGTTCAGTTTATATGTAGTCCATGTTTTATCATTTTATCTCATATATAAACAGTAGTTTACTTTTCATAAATGTACCATATAGTACATCTCATTCTGCAATTTGTTTTATTTCCCTCAACATATTTTAGGGATCCAACATTTTGAAACACATGGATCTAGATCTTTGACTTTTACTCTTGAATGATACTCCATTATATGAATATATCAAACCTGTTGCACAGCTGCATCATTTGTTTTTTTCTAATTTTGCTTTTAAAAAGTGTTTCGAGGAATATCTTTATGCATGTGTGTGAATGTGTCACTAGAAGGTAGCTACTAAGACTTAAAGTGACTTTTTTGTCAACTTTGCTAGACATTGCCAAATTACTCTACATAGTTGTTGTTGTTGTTATGTGCCGTCGAGTCGGCCCCGACTCATAGCGACCCCTCCTTGGGTTTCCGAGGCAGTATCACTACGGAAGTAGGATTGCCCAACCTTCCTTCCGAGGAGTGGCTGGTGGGTTTGAACCTCCAGCCTTCTGGTTAGCAGTCAAGTGCTTTAGCCACTATGCTACCAGAGCTCCTACTCTACATAGTGGATGTTCCAAATTCTAGACCCATCAGCAAATGATTAGAGGTCCTGTATCACCATATCTTCACCAATATTTAAAACTAGTAGACTTATTTTGCCCCATCTAGTTAGATATGAAAGGAGCTCTGGTGGCATAGTGCCTAAGGCATTATTTGACTGCTAACCAGAAGGTTGGTGGTTCAAACCCACCAGCCACACTGTGGAAGGAAGACTGGGCAGTCTACTTCCATAAAGATTTACTGCCTTGGAAACCCAAAGGGGGTCTCTATGAGTCGGAATCGACTCGATGGCAATGAGTTTGGTGGTTTTGTTTTTGGATTTTGTTGTTGCTGTTAGATATGAAATGCTGTTTCTCTTGTTTTGCTTTGCGTTTTGTGGACTTCTAGGGAGGTCATGTACCTTTTTGTTTTCAGTGAACTGCTTGTTCATAGTCTTTGTACATTTTTCTGTCAGCTTGTTTGTCTTTTTATTTACAAGGAGCCTATAACATTGTCAAGATACTGTTCTTGTGTGGTGGCACTATGTTAGTTTCAGTTCAGACTCCTTGTTCTTGCTATAGGCTCATTAGTTTTCCTCATATGCTTATCACTCATGTTTTAAAAAATTGTTTTATTTAACTGGTACGGAGTGGGCAAGAGATTCTCCTAAAGGTCAATAGGCAAGCCTTTAAGAGAGGGGCAAGATGAGTGGGATTTTAAAAGGTGTATTTGAAAGACTTCAGCTGAGCAGGAAGTTGTAAACAGCAAAGAAAGAAGAGAGGCAGAGGGGAGTTGGGAAAACCATGCATGGAAAAGAGACAGTAGATCAACTAGACCCTGAAATGAGGCAGTTCCATCATCCCAGACATCTTTATGGCAAACGAGGAGAGATAGTACTGAGTAAGGATAGTGATGAGGTTTGGGGGGAAAAACACTCTGTGTCTTTCACTAGAAAATGAATAAAAACATTTGCCTTGACTACTTTTTTTTATTGCTTCTTGCTCTGGTTCCAGCAGCCAGGAGCTCACCTGCCTGCCCTCTCTCCCTTTTTCAGACATCTAGTGTTCATTGTGGACCAGCTCCTTGGAATGAGGATATATAAAAAACAAAGTTAGACTCCCTCAAGTGGCCTCCTGTCTATTCCAAGAGTCTGTCCATTACAGTACAGTGTCCTGAGGGAGGCAAGCATGGCATACCAGAAGAGCACAGAGGTGGGGAACCTGATCTTCCTTGGGTCGGGAGATACCGAGCTGAGTACTGCTGAACTTTGTCAAGTGAAAGATGATAGGGGAAAGGACACAAGTAAATAAAGGCAGCTTGTTCAGGCTCCAAGGTATGTCAGAAAATGGTACAGGCCTGAAAATTTGAGGTAGTATCAGTCAAGAATGGGTATATCAAGTTAGGTAAGGAATTTGAAGGAGCTCTAGTGACGTAGTAGTTAAAGCATTTGGCTGCTGACCTATGGTCAGCAGTTTGAACCCGCAGCCATTCCGTGGGAGAAAGATGAGACAATCTGCTTGCGTAAAGATTTATGGCCTTGAAAAGTCTGAGCAGTTCTGCTCTGTCCTAAAAAGGGTCACTTGGTGGGTCAGCTCAATGGCAGTGGGTTAAGGAATTTGAGCTTTATCCTAAAGATGATGGGCGAGATGATGGGGTTTTAGAAAGTGAGATGCACAAAGTCTTGAGTACAAATAAAGTATTTCTTCATCAAAATTTCTCCTTACTTTCAAGTAACAGAGAGTTAAACACATTCATGAGAGCATTGATTTTCAATTCTTAAGAAAAATATTTTCAAAATGTTTCTTTTTGCTGATTAGAGTGAGTCACTCCCCACTGGTCTTTTTTTACAAACTTCTCTATGTGCCCAGAAAGGGACTTTGCCGAGGAACACTAGCATTAATGTTCAGTGAGATTTAACCTCTTGTCAGTACTGGCTTCAGAACATCTTCAGAACTTACAAGGAAATGATGATGATCACTGACAGTAGAACTAACAAGCAAAACTGTCTACTGGAGAATAAAACAGTGGAAGCGGGAGTAGAGTTCTGACTGACACAAAACCTTCCAGGTTTTCTCTTCTTGATATCCTGAGTCTTTCCCAAGACAGTCTCTTCTTGTGCTATTATTTGTAAAATGAACTTGGATATCGTTTTTAATTAACAACATCAGGAAAATGACTAGACAGTGAGTTTCACAGAACTGGAAGAAGTTAGATAGGAGGGGACATTGATATGCCTAGGATAAAAGGCCCAGAGTAAAAGCCTCACCTTATCCCACACTCAGGATTTCCTCTGAGGCATCTTGTTAAAAAAAAAAGTAGTTGCTTCCTCATAGCTGTTTTTATGGTGGTAGTTTCTGCCCATACTCCTTAGTTGGAGCTATTGCTTACTGATTCTTTCCCTAATTCCTCTCTGAAGGATGGGTCTGTCCTCATGATACTTCAGATGACTAAGAAGTTGAAAACCCTTTTGCAGTACGAACTAATGGAACAGTCCTACTGGATTTATTTCAAAAAAAGTTTCCCTTTCTTTAAGGGATCTAGCAAAAAATGTCTTACAGAATCACACACAGAACAAACTTGAGAAAAAATATGGATTTTGCTTTCATCTTATATGTGAGGAAATTGAGGCCTAGAGGGAAAGAATTTGTACCAGGATCACATTAACTAATTAGCAGAACTAGGACCTACATAATATCAAAGTATATCAAATACAGTTTGACAGATATTACTCTTGTGTCCATTTAACATGTTACAAGCTAATATTTCACATACTATTAACTAAGTTGTTTCAGGAATGGAAAACCAATTTGCTCTAAACTTACTCAAATCACAGTAAGAAGTTGGGTGGGGGGAGGGAAAGTTGGGCACTTGGCTTTTGGATAAAATAGTCCTAGGGTGTACAGATAGACATTTGAATAGGTTCCATGACCCAGGAACTGCTAGAGAGACTTAATTGAAGATTCAGCAATGGATAACACATGGTCCGTACCTTCAAGGAACACTCACTGGAAGAGGAAAACTTAAGATAATCATAATACAGTGTGGTTGGTGGTATGTGGAAGGGACCTATGGACCAAATGGGCATTGGACAAGCAACTGTTTAGGAAGGGATTCTTTGGGTGCCCTTCTAGTATCTCCCCCTTTCCATCCTCACTCCACACCCCTCCAAATCCATGTTCATGACCTAAAAGAGCATCTTGCCTGTAATTAGTTGACATTGACAGGAATTGTGGTGCTTCCTAAATCAGTGTATGAAGAATTGCCTAATGAGTGGGATCTGCTGTTGATTTCCTGAGTAAACCTTTCCCACAAGAGTCTCTCAGCACTGAGTGTCCCCACGGACTGCTCTTTTATTTGTGTCTACTTCGCCTCTGACCTCTTGGAATGGTTCTGTTTCATGACTTCATAGCAGCAGATGATGACCTTTCAGAGGCACAGAGCGCTGGGCTTTTCACATCAGTGGCCCTGGTAGGCCAAGACAGTGAGAGATAAAAGAGCTGAGATAAAATCAGGTCCTTGGCAAACTGTAGTCTCAACTTTTTCCTCAGCAAGTCTGCCACCTTCTTTTGAGTCAAGGTTCCCAGAGGCACTTTGGGACAGTTCTAATGACCTTCCCCTGTGACCCTTGACTTGGGGAGGGTTATGAAAAAGCTCAGGGCAGTTAAGATCAGAAGTAGAAGGACATCAGTGGGTAGATTTTACATTCACATGCTGCACCTTTGGCACAGTCATACCGATTTTACAGCCCCTGTTAGGGAGTTTATGTTAATATGTTTGTGACTTAGACTGATTGATGACAGACACTTGTAGTTTTGGTAGCGTTTCTGCTTCCTGCCTGAGAAGTTCCAGAATTCTAGTTTTTGTTAATCAGAAATTACATCTGCTCTTGTTTCTCCTCCTCCAAAATGACATCACAGGCCCGCTTCCCAGAAGAGGGCTCCAATGCAGTCTGTTATTTCAGTTAGAGTCACATTCTTATGTGGGAGCCACTTCACTTGGAAATCCACTGCTCGAGCAGCCATGGAGGGTCGAATCTAGTATCTGTTTGCTTTGTCGAGGTGACCTTGGGTTTTGCTTTCTTTTCAGATTGCAGTGCTTTTGTCCACAAAGGTTGTAGAGAAAGTCTCGCCTCCTGTGCAAAGGTCAAAATGAAGGTAAGACATTTCTGGCTAAAGGTAGCTTAAAATAAAGGGGATTAAACCAGTAAAATCCTCATGAGTTGGGAGAATTGACAAATGAAGTAGCTTTTTAAAATATATATATATATATATATATATATATATATATATGAATTATTTTGAGACCAAAATAAATAAATACTTTTTCTCTAAAGTGTTAAATTCTCTTCAGAAATTTGAGATTCCTTAGAAAATAAAATGCTTTTAGGACTTCTACATGTTAAACATATTTTTTGTTATTTTGATATTTGTGTGTCACTGTTTTAAGTGGCTTTCTTCTTTACCATGTCTGCATACCTTCTCTATTTACATACTTGACTTCCTCATTGGGGACCATGAGGATAGCAGGTGAAAATCAAGGGCTTTTATGTTTGAAGGTCAGGAAGTGTTATGGTGAGACCCAGACTAGAGCCATGTTCATGTACGTGACTCTGAACATGTAATACCAGAACAGGAAGGGCCAGTTGTATGATGCAGCTTGTTCTGACTACACATTATGTGATAATGTGCACTGCTTATCAAGTGACCCTTGCATATGGCCCTTAAAAAATGGGTATGGGTTTGAAGGGCATACCTTTTAAGTAGCCTGTGTGGTTTTTCAGTGTTTCAGTCACATATAAGTGTCTTTTTGTTCTTTGTCAGGAGAGTACTTTCTGGGTAGGTACATCTACACATGCTCAGGAAATTGTATGCTGCTTCGTTGATGACCGTGCACATCTATCTAGTGGCCTCCAGCTAGAGCATGCTGTCCAACGCTCCTGGAGGGTTTGTTTAAAGAAGCTAGCAGATTCTGTAGGTTTAGGGTGGGGCCTAGGAATTTGCATTTCTTACATGATGCTGATACTGATATAGGGTAAAGTTGACAGACTTACAAGTCCTGGGTCTTTCTCAACCCAAAGACAGGTATGTTGTGTGGCTCATACAATATCTAATTGGAATTATTGCAGTCATTTAAAAAATCATATCTCCTATCAATTTGAATTCTAATTTCTCTTTTTAAAAAATTTAAAAGTCTCACTGGTCTTTCCCCTTACCCTAATTCTCCTTTATTTCTGTAGTACTTATCACCTTCTCTTTATTGTTTTTGGTCTGTACCTTCCTCCTATTAGAATGTAAGCACCAAACTTACCAAGCACTCTGAAAGCAGGAATCATTGATCCATTAAGGTATCCTAAGCACCTAGAATGGTGTCTGGATTATAGGTCCTTCGGTATTGGAAGATGGATAGCAAGTAATCAACTAGAGCTGAGTGGCTGCCGCCTCCTTTACACAGGATGTATAAGTTCCAGATCACCACTTTCTTTGCCTGACTTGTTTCTGTCATTTATGTTAGTTGCCTGACCCCATAGATATTTGAATTTGAGGTTTCTGATACCATGATTTATTGCCATCGTGAATATACTAGGTTCTATAAAAGGATAATGATACCACTGCAGTTCCTCCCATGTAAGAGCCAACAACCTAAAAGAGAGACTTCATTTTAAACTGGAAGTCACTCATTTTCACTGATAATTTCCCTCCAATTAATTGCCTAAGTCTATAATTTTTCAGAGTATTTTTGTTACATGATAGAACAGAAGAGTCTTAACTAAAATCAGCATTCTCTGTAAAGATTTGAGACCTTAAAATGTAAGTCATTGGAGAAATAACAATGAAAAAGTCACAGATGCAGCTCTTAAGGAACATCAGTCTAGTCTAGTGGACAAGCAGACTATTACCATAAATGAGATCAAAGCTGTGTGGGGGCATGCACAGGATTCTGAAGGGGTGCCAGTCACTGGCTTGGGTGAAGAGAAGAAAGGAGTTAATGGATGGCTTCACCTAGGAGGGAACACTTAGTCTTGAAACAGAAGAATACCATGCCTCTGAAGGTAAGAAGAGCATTTGAGGTAAAAGAACCGGCATCTGCAGACTCCGAGCTTGAGCCAGCACTGTTGGAGTTGTCTATAACTGGGCCATACAATGCTGAGGATCAATAGAAAGGAACAGAGCAGAGGAGAAAAATAGCCCAAAATTTGCTGGACCAACTCTCTTCCTATTCTAGACTTCTTGAAACCAACAACACATAATTGTAAATGCAGTCTTCATGTTCCATTTTGCTTCTTTTTCCTTCAGCAGCCGAAAGGGAGCCTTCAGGCACATGACACATCATCTCTACCCACGGTCATTATGAGAAACAAGTGTAAGTAATACATCTTGCCTCTCGTAATTCACTTTTTGACTTTCTGGTTCTGGCTTTTAAAATACTTAGGTTGTAGTAAATAATCCTACTCAAGATTTGAATACCTATTTTGCAGTCATTTAGAGAAGGTTGCTGTTTTGTCCTGCAGATTCATTGACCAACAGCTACCACCAGACCTTTTTCTTTGATGGTTTTTGGAATGATGGCTTCGTTTGACTGATTGCTTACATAATTCTCTTCTTAATTCCTCCTCTATTTGTGTCGTCTTTTTGCTTAATACTTCATGATTATTTCTGACTTCATGCACATGGTGAGAACCATGCCCTCTTTTTTCCTTCCCACTGATCCAAATCTTCACCATTCTTCAAGAACTCATGTTTCTTCTTCCCTCAGATCTTATTTGCTCACTGACCTCCCTTCTGAAATACCTATGAATGCACTCCAGGCTCTTTCAACACTTAAACGTATTTCCTTTAGTACATTTAAGTACTTACTCTCTGTTGGGCTAGAACCACATTTCACCCTCCTTGTGTGCTTCCTGAAGCAAGGGTTTGATCATGTTGTAGTGGATCAGGTTTCTGATTTTTTATTATATCATGTTCTTCTAAGTAGGATTTGAATTGGGAATTCATAATTTCATTAATTTTTTATTAAGTCAAAATATTTTGAAATACTTTAAAGTCCTGAAATATCTTAACGTCCTAACAGTCACCCCAAACTAACTTCTGTCAGCTCCTAACACTCTGGGGGATAGACAGGTAACATAACTAGTATCTGGGGCAGGAACTCTGTTACCAAGGAAGAGTGATGGATTTCTCAAATGCGATTGATCTCTTCAGTTTCTTCTCTGGTCATGATAAGGAGAAATATGCAGTATGAGCAGGAATTAGCTATGTGACATTAAGTGTTGCATTTTCCTTATCTGTAAATTCAAGGAGTTGGTCAAAATTTGTCTTCTCATGCAGTAGGATCACTTGGGGTATCTATAAAATATGTAGAATCAGACCCCAACACAAAGGACTAGGAGAACTGGGATCTGCATATCAACAAGCACTTCCAGTGTTTCTAGATGTTTCTGTTGCAGGGATCCCAAGGAACCTGGCCTCACTTACCCCAGTTCCTTGAATCTTATTTTATTTTTAATTATTGTTGTTGTTATGTGCCGTGGAGTCGGACCTGACTCATAGCAAACCCTCCTTGGGTTTCCAAGGCAGTATCACTATGGAAGTAGATTGCCCAACCTTCCTTCCGAGGAGTGGCTGGTGGGTTTGAACTGCCAGCCTTCTGGTTAGCAGTCAAGTGCCTTAGGCACTATGCTGCCAGAGGCTCCCTACTTTTTTTTTTTTAGTTTGATTTTTTTTAATTGTTAAATATGTAACAAAACATTTGCCATTTAATTTCTAAAATATACAGTACTTTCTGATACTTTGTCTCCATTGCCTAGTTTCCATCCACCTCACTCTTCTTAGTTTCTTATATATCTTGCCAGAATGTCTTTATACAACTAAAGAAAATGCTAATTTTCCAAATGCTTTTTTTCCATGAAAGATAGCCTCTTATACACTTTGTTCTACACACTGATTTATTTCCCCCTTAATATATCTTAGAGATCTTGTGTAAGTACATGGAGTGTTTCCTCTTTTTTTTCCCCCCAATCACCTGCCTAGTATTTATGTTGTACCATTACTTATTAACCAATTCCCTTTTGATATTCCTTTGTGTCATTTCAAGTCTTTAGCTTTTACAATGTTTCAATAAGTGATTTTGGACATATATCATTTCACACATACACAACTATATCTTGTAGCATAAGCATATCCTAAAAATGGAATTGCTGGATCTGAGGATATACACATTGACAATTTCAATAGGTAATACCAAATCTTCCTCCATAGAGTTTTTATATAAATTTACGTTCCCAGAGAAAAAATCTATTTTAAAGCATTTTGCTGCTGATAGGTATTTGTTAGGTGAGTCAGTACTAGGTGATGGTTCAGTTAGTGTCCTCTCTTCCTTTGCAGCTTCACAGCCTAAGGAACGCCCTCGGTCAGCAGTCCTCTTGGCTGATGAAACCACTGTTGCCCCAATATTTGCCAACAGACGGTCCCAGCAGAATGTCTTGCTTTCCAAAAGTGTCTCCATACAGAACATTGCTGGGTAAGTAGTAATTTAAAGATAACAGAGTTGGACAGCTAGGTAACAAGAGCATAATAATCATGTCATTTGACAAAAAAAAAAAAAAAAAAAAAACCCTTCCTTTAGAAATTAAAGGGCTGAAATACTGGCTTGGTACATAACCAGGGCATATAGAATGGTGATTTGTTTGGGGGCACTGTTGGGACTGCCATTTTGTATTGGTGAACTCTTTTCAACACCATTATTAGGCTGGGTTAGCCCAAGTAAGCTATTATAGATGTTCATTCCCACATTTGAAGAACCTGAATTCTACAAAGGTGATTTGTAGATTAAAATAAGATGTGAGAGTAGGGAAAAGGATGATTTAATGATGAAGTTTCAGTTGCAACCACTAATAGTTTAAAATGTCAGACTTTTATTTATTCAGAGAAACCTGGTATTTTGTTTCTTTTTTTTAATCTCTTTTTCATCCTTGCCACCTGCCTCTTAAGTCATGAGAGTGAGTAAGGGAACAGTTACTGCTGTCAGGTTCCCAGGTGCTCATTTGCACTGAGTAATTTTGTGATCCCCTGCACATAGTTAAGGAGCCCTTGGAGTAGTGTGATTAAAGCAGCTAGTCTGCTGCCATAAAGATTTACAGCCTTGGCAACCCTGCGGGGCAGTTCTACTCTGTTCTGTATGGTCTCTATGAGTTGGAATTGACTTGACAGTGATGGGTACAGTATTGTTGTACACCACCTGCAGCCCAAGGCTGATTATGATGTTGGCTGCTTTGGGTAAGACATCTGCTTTCCCATCAAATAAATAAGTTGTCTCAAATATAGGACCCCGAAACATGTCTTGCATCTTTCTTAACCTAGGTTGGAGGAAAATTCTTAACTAAAAGGTATAAAATTTCCTTTTGCCTTCGTTTCCTAACCCATGTGCTGGGTAATGTTTCCACCTTAAAAAAAAAAAAAAAATCAAGTATTTGTGTTTTGTCTTTGTATTTTTTATTATCTCAAAGGCCTTTTTTAAAGTTGTAATGTTATCAAAAGGCACTCTGGTGGTACTGTGGTTAAAGCATTGGGCTGCTAACCAAAAGGTTGACAGTTCAAACCAGTTCACCAGCTGCTCTATGGGAGAAAGATGGGGCACTCTGCTTCCCCAAAGATTACTACCCTATCCTATCAGATCACCATGACTCAGAACCAACTCAGTGGCAGTGGGTTTGTGGTTAATGTTATTGAAGTTTATATTATGCCTGTAAAAATTAGTCTTTAAATAAATTTTAAATTTTTAAATGACTCTTACTTGCTTTTGTGTTATACAACAAAAATGGATGCCTTCCATGCTAGTTAATAAGTTATGCTTGAGAAAGTTCAAGGCTTGTGGTTTATTATAAGTGCTTGGTCTACGGTTATTTAGGGAACAGGAAAAGAACATATATACTGGTTAGGCGGTAAGTTTCAAATACAGAGATGTCTTATATAAGATATACATAGTTTGAGGAAAAAGAGTTCTCCTTTCTGCCTACCATTTAAAAAAAAATTCTGAGGCTCAGAAAGTTCAAAAAGTTTGAAGTTGTGATGATGGCTAATACTTCCAGCTTTTGTAAATAGTGTTGCATGTTGCTACATACCTGATATGAATATATTTTGTCTTCCTTCATTGGAGTTCTTAACAGCCAACTGCTATTTTAGATTTTGTCAAGTACTCATCTAAGAAAGCAAACCTCAGCTCATCAGAATGTATTTGTGACACCATGTGCTTCTTTTTGTCTCCAGAGTTGGCAATGATGAGAGCATGTCAAACACCTGGAAATTCTTGTCGCATTCAACAGACTCACTAAATAAAATCAGCAAGGTCAACGAGTCAACAGAGTCACTGACTGATGAGGGTAAGAGAAGGGTATGGCCAGTATCTTAAGCATCTCTAGACTGTATGTGCCACCACCTACAATTCAAGTATTAATGGAATAATAGTGCCTGTCTAAGGAGCTCTGGTAGCATAGTGGCTAAGTCACTTGCCTGCTAACCAGACGGCTGGCGGTTCAAACCCACCAGCCACTCCTCGGAAGGAAGGTTGGGCAATCCTACTTCCGTAGTGATACTGCCTCGAAAACCCAAGGAGGGGTCGCTATGAGTCAGGGACGACTCGACGGCACATAACAACAACAACAACAGAGAATCTTATCAAGATTTTCTGAATTGTCTGTAAAGCATCGAAGGGTTTCTCACAAACTGCTAATCAGATGTACCAGTTGTTAAGTAGCTGTCCATTGAAGGATGTCACTGATTTAATATGGGTGCATTCTGTAGTGCAAATGCTTTTCTTCCCTGAGATTTTTGTACACATTCAGTTCTAGCTCTTTAGGCATAATTGCAAGCCTGCTCTCCTAAACATGTAATGTTACCAGGTCCCTTGTAATTCCAACTTCATATAGTAATCACATCTTAATGAGCTTTGATTGATATGATGTGTATCACTCCTAACTAGAGTCTTGAATATAGAGTCTGTCACTCCCAAACAGGAGACTGTTTCTTTTCGAGTGTCAGGGTCTGTGCTCTGTGAATATCCCCTAGATTGATGCAGAGTGTTTATGTCTTATGAAATCAGTTCTCACCCTGAGGAGAGTCTGGCATAGGGTTTTTAGGAGTCATTGACCCAAGGTTCTGATCTTGCTTTTTTGCATTTTGAGGAGTAGGTACAGACATGAATGAAGGACAGCTACTGGGAGACTTTGAGATTGAGTCCAAACAGCTAGAAGCAGAGTCCTGGAGTCGAATAGTGGACAGCAAGTTCCTGAAACAGCAAAAGAAAGATGTGATCAAACGGCAAGAAGTGATTTATGGTGAGGCTCTGCTAACATTTAATTTTCATTTTCCAGCATTTTTATTTGTGATTTATTGGGCTATGAAAAGTCAGTTTTCAAATATCATCTTAAAGATTTTCTTTGAAAACTTTGAGGTACAGGAGCATGGCCTTATTTGTATCTTTTTCTCCTTTTCATCTCACTCTATTTCCTTTAATTTTTTTGAATGTTTTAGTTATATGTAAATTATTTATGTAACAGTCCTAGAAAGAGATCGCTTGTGAAAGTACAGTTTAGTTCCTCGGCTACACTAGAAACTGGACTAAACAAGTAATTCGTAGGAGTACAATAAAATGTGAGAGATGCCAAATCCAGTGAAGTCCAGTTTGGAAACCACCACTGATAGACGTTTGATGGAATGCAATATGCCTATCATCAGAAAATAGTGTTAGGTCAAGTAAAAAAGAAGAAGAATAAGATGAGAACACCTTAAGGTAAAAGACAACCATTGACCCATTTTTAAAGTTTGAATTTCAATTAAGCTTAAAACTGCAGCAGATCTTCTTGAAGGAGAATACTTGTAAAAGAATGTTCCTGACCCTGTGCTCTGTCCACCCCCTTTAGAGTTGATGCAAACAGAGTTACATCATATTCGCACGCTCAAGATCATGAGTGACGTGTACAGCCGGGGGATGATGGCAGATCTGCTCTTTGAGCAGCAGATGGTGGAAAAGCTGTTCCCTTGTTTGGATGAGCTGATCAGTATCCACAGCCAGTTCTTCCAGAAAATCCTGGAGCGGAAGAAGGAGTCTCTTGTGGATAAAAGTGAAAAGAACTTCCTCATCAGGAGAATGGGTGATGTGCTTGTAAACCAGGTGAGCAGTAGAAAGGGTTTCAGGTTCTGCTTAGATGCAGTGAGAGGAAAGAGAAGCCTTAGGGTTTGGTAGCCATGCATGCATTCCCATACTGGTGCTTTCAGTTATTATTTGTGTGAGCTTTGTCAAGTGATTTAATCTCTCAGAGCCTTGCTTTCCTTTTCTGTAAAACAAAGACAGTAAGTTTTCTTACCTACGCTACTGTAGAAAGGTCAAAGGTGTATATGTAGTAGAGTACCTAGTATAGATGGTAGATATCCAATGCAAGTTACTTTTTATTCCTCAAAGTGTATACCATCCTCAGAAGCAGTGTAGTTTAAGGTAAGAGAATATGAGAAATCAGAAAATGTTGGAGGTCTCAACTTCTCCCTCTGCCTCCAATTAAAAAAAACGTCATTTGTCTAAAACCACCTGGTGCATTGGAAGATGAATAAGAGTCTAACTGTAAAATACTTCATAAAATATGTATTGTTGCTGATATTTTCATCAAGATGTGGTTTAATTTTTATCCCACCCCCTCAAAAAGTTTGGCTACAAGTTATTTTGATACTTCAGATGTATTTCGTACAGTTTTTAATGTTTCTTTTTAGAACATTCTTCTTGAAGAAAACCATTGCTAGTATATAGCCTTAACAGATAGCCTTACATGTACTCTAGATCTTTTTCTCCAGCAAATCTCTGCTTCTATACTTAAGTACTGGAACATTTATCTAAAAATTGGAACTTTTGTCCTTTACTTGTACTCTTAAGCCCATACACTCACCTCATTCATTAATGCATTCATCATTCATTCTTCAAATGTTTACTGAGCATCTGCTAATGTCTGGGAAAGACTGAAAAGGTGTATCTGTCATGGCTGTCTGCCTCATGAAACTCACATTCTACAAGTAAAAATAGATGTGTTATCAAATAAACACAAATGCAGCATGGTGAATGCTTCTGACAAAAGTATCTGCAAGGACACTCAGGACCCAAAAGGTGGAGAGGTCAACCCTATTAAGGGGAATCTTTCCTTACCAAAGGAGCTCTGGTGGCACAATGGATAAGACATTTGGCTGTTAACCAGGTCAGTAGTTCAAATCCATCAGCTGTTCCAAAGAAGAAAAGTGAAGCAATCTATTTCCATAAAGATTTAGAGCCTTAGAAACCCAGTAGGGGTCACTGTGAGTTGGAATCAACTCAACGGCAGTGGGTTTTTTGTTTTCTTTCCCATATATATCCCCTCTCCCAAACATTCCTCACTTCTCTTTCTCTGACTTCATACCTGTACAAGTATCTTATTCTTCTTTGACTTGTATTATCATTTGTAGCTTCTTTTATCTGTGCACATCCTCTTACAACATCTTTGATAGTAGGATTGAAATCTTAGCCCCATTTGTTAGTTCTGTATGCCAGTGCTAGGGTCAACCCTACAAAGCACTTGGTTTATGATGTCAACAGATCACTTAAAATCTCCTTGCCTTAGCTTCTCCATTGGTAAATGAGAAAAGGAAAAGCTACCCTGAACCTTTGTTGAAGTTTTTTGGTAGGGTCAGTTGGGTTGCTGCTAAAGATTTTTAGTACAATAGAAATCGATCCTTAGTGTGCATCATATGGACCACAAACAGAAACTCATGGACTTACCCTAAAGTGAACATTTCTTCAGACAATCCACTGAGAATTATACACATTTGAGAGTGATTTAAAGGCCATATGGAATTATTGTTAGGCAAATCCCTAGGTAAGAGGGCTGATTCTGGTATCTTTCTAAATTATCAAAGTCAAAGTTTTCAAATTGAATGTCTTGTCAAAAATTTCTAGTGTGTCTTCATGTTTTATTGCCTTTTATCTTTTGTTGTTGTTGTTGTTATGTGCCGTCCTTTTATCTTTACCATGAATAAAAGTTAGAACATGTTTTGTTTTTCTTGTGTACAGTACATAGATATTTCTGTAAGTTTATACACACATATAAATGTGTGTGTATGGGTGTTCTGAAATTGATTATGGTGATATTTGCACAACTCTATGAACATATTATTATCCACCAAATTGTATCCTTTAAATGAGTGAATTGTGTGGCATGTGAATTACATCTCAGTATGTTGTTGTTGTTGTTATGTGCCGTCGAGTCGGCCCCGACTCATATATAGGTTTATATATATTACAGGACACTTTCATCACCCCAAAAAGAAACTATGTACTGCTTAGCCTCAGTTTCCCATCACTCCACTCCTCTACCCCCCAGCTGTGGGCAAACACTAATCTACTTTTCATCTCTGTAGATTTGCCTCTTCTGGAATCATATGATATGTGGTCTTCAGTGACTGACTTCTTTCACTTAGTTTGTTTTCAAGGTTCATCCATGTTGTAATATATATCCATACTTCATTCTTTTTTATTGCTAAATATTGTTCCCTTATATAGATAATACCGCATTCTGTTTATCTTTTATCAGTTGATAGACATTTGGGTTATTTTCATTTTGGGGCTATTATGAATAATGTTGCTGTGAACATTTGTGTATAAATTTTTGTGTGGACATATCTTTTCATTTCTCTTGGGTATATACCTGGGTTATATGGTAAGTCTATGTTGAACCTTTTAAGGAACTTCTAGAATCTTTTCCAAAGTGGCTATACCAGTTTTTATTCCCATTAGCAGTGTATGAGGCTGCAAAATTTTAATAATCTTTTGGAAGGATCTATGAGGAACCGCTATTGGATTTTACAAATAGACTGGATACATTTTGTAAAATAGTAATAGATTTTAGCAGCCTGAGTTTTGGCATGACTTTGGTTCTTCTTTTCTGCAGTTTTCGGGTGAGAATGCAGAACGCCTAAAGAAGACATACGGCAAGTTTTGTGGGCAGCACAACCAGTCTGTAAACTACTTCAAAGACCTTTATACCAAGGATAAGCGTTTCCAGGCCTTTGTAAAGGTATTTATATGAAATGTGAAAATCCCCGTAATGTGTTATGGGCAGTGTTGTCGCTGTGAGTTTTAGCTAGAGCCTTGCTCCTCGTGTAGTTACTGACTGGTTTTTTACCCCCCTATAGAAGAAGATGAGCAGCTCAGTAGTAAGAAGGCTTGGAATCCCAGAGTGCATATTGCTTGTGACCCAGCGCATCACTAAGTACCCAGTTTTATTCCAAAGAATATTGCAGTGTACCAAAGGTGAGTCTTCTTTTCACTCAGTCTTACATCCACTGGGCTGTTTCCTGTGCGTCCTGCAGCATGTGAGTGAGACCCCTTTAGAGGATCATTTTCATACTCCAGTAAGTCTAAAAAGGATCTGTATTTCATCTTAAAAATGAGTGTTCTTAAGTGAAAATTGGAAATGTTATATCACCAGGCATAGCATAAATGATAGCAGGAAGGGAAGGGACCAGTTATTGATTTTGTCAAGAGTTCAATGACTTGAACAACTTATTTCTCCCTTACCTGCTAAACTGAAAGATAATTCCCACCAGTTTTGCTAATAAACGTAAAAGTGTATCGTTCCTCCCTGTACTACTCTCCATTCCTGAGAATGTTTAGTTCCTTCTATTTTAGACCATAGCATATAATTGCATGTTGTCTGTATCATTGAAAACTTCTTTCTTTAGAATTGAAGTTATGACAGAGTGAGATGAGCATGTGATCTTTGATATGTTAGCTTCATTCTAAGAGGTTAACCACAGAGGGAAACTGGTGAAGATGTAGAGTGAGAAAGCAGGATTTCCCCTCTGGAAAAGGATTCATTAAAAACAGAATTACTCTTTCCTTCTAAGATAATGAAGTGGAACAGGAAAATTTAGCTCAGTCCTTGAGCTTGGTGAAGGATGTGATTGGAGCTGTAGACAGGAAAGTGGCAAGTTATGAAAAGAAAGTGCGTCTCAATGGAATTTATATGAAGACAGACAGCAAGTCGATAATGAGGATGAAGAGTGGTCAGATGTTTGCCAAGGAGGATTTAAAAAGGAAGAAGCTTGTGCGGGATGGAAGTGTATTTCTGAAGAACACAGCAGGAAGGTTGAAAGGTAAGGCTCACTTTGTCTGAAGCTAAGTGTGTGCTTGAGGAGGGCAGACAAAATCCAAGTGTTTTTGTTAGAAATTCACCAGCAGATTTTTCCTAGAGAGCCTATTCCCGAAAATCACATAGGAGCTGCAGTCACTTGTTATTATTGATATTATACCTTTTTGGTAAGGTAGCTTACAAAATCACAGAGAATAAGTAAAATAACAAGGAAATGGTATAGTCAGGGGAAAGGAGAAATAAGATGTTTTTGAAAAGCAAAGGATGGAATTGATAGGAAAATGCAGACTGTTAAAGCTTATTCATTCCCCTATGAGACATGGGCAACAAATTTGGGTTTGGGTCTCTGTTGGAACAGCTTTAAGGCGGGAAACAATCAGTTACACAAATGAGAGTCTCTGAGATTGAAAGGAATCCCTGGGTAGTTAACATGCTTGGCTGCTAACAAAAAGGTAGTGCTGCAGAAGAAGGGCCTGGTGATCAACTTCTGAGTAATTAGCCATTCAAAAGCCTGTAGAACACAGCTCTACTGTGACACACATTGGGGTTATTATGAGTTGGAGTCAACTCCATGGCAGCTGGCTTTATGAAATTAAAAATAAATGATTTGTTCAGAAGAGACCTTACAGTACTGTCTCCTGGGGATCCTCATGAAGAATGCTCAACAACATTCAGGACAATGTTGTTGTTGTTGTTGTTGTTGTTGTTGTTGTTATGTGCCATCGAGTTGGCCCCGACTCATAGCGACCCCTCCTTGGGTTGCCAAGGCAGTATCTCTATAGAAGTAGATTGCCCAACCTTCCTTCCGAGGAGTGGCTGGTGGGTTTGAACCACCAGCCTTCTGGTTAGCAGTGAAGTGCCTTGTTAGGTAAATTTAACTCCCATCAACTTAGATTTATTATTAAATTTTATGATACTTTTTGATCTCACTCTAAAACGAAAGAGATGATAAAAGAAATTCATTTTAAGTGGTGCAGAGCTAGGGAAGTGATTGCTCCTCAAGAATAGTGTGTTTGCAGGAGTGTATAGTCAAGGTTAGCCCTTTATTATGCACCTCTCCCTATCCCTCAACCAAGGGCATTGTTCCTCTGTATACCCCTCCCCTCTCCGATGCCAGGCCTCACTCACAGCTCCGCTGGTGATGGGAGAACTCTGCCAGAGTATTCCAAATGCCAGTGGGCTGATTGGTGAGTGCTAACTCAAACAGGCCTTCCTAGTGAAACTGTAATTACCTCCCACTTGCAAAACCAAACCTGCTACCACTGAGTCACTTCCAACTCGTAGTAACCCTGTAGAATAGAGTAGAACTATCCTGTAAGATTCCTAAGGCTGTAAATCTTTACAGAAACAGACTGACAGTCTGTCTCCTGTGAAGTGGCTGGTGGATTTGAACCTCTGGCCTTTAGATTAGCAGTCAAGTGCTTTAACCAGTGTGCCAAAACAGCTCCTTTATTCGAAGAATGTTGTTGTTATTGTTGTGTGCCGTCGAGTTGGCCCCGACTCATAGCGACCCCTCCTTGGGTTTCCGAGGCAGTATCACTACGGAAGTAGATTGCCCAATCTTCCTTCCGAGGAGTGGCTGGTGGGTTTGAACCGCCAGCCTTCTAGTTAGCAGTCAAGTGCCTTAGGCACTATGCTACCAGAGCTCCTAGAATTTCAAAGAATAGTAGTTTCCAAAAGTGTTTATTTATGTATAATCCGTTAACACATGATCTTATGTCTTTGCTCATGCTTATTAAGTATTTCCCATTAGTTATGTTTCCTATGGAATTTTAGTTTAAGAAAAATAGTCATATATGAATGACATTATAAGTAAGCTATAATAAACCTTATGACTACAAGTGTCCAAAAAAAAGAGAGATTCGTTTTCCATTTAGTTTTTATTTTTCAAATGGTCAGCTTTATCAGGTTAAGGAAGTTACGAGGTTTTAATTCATCTGCATTATAGATTCTTTTTAAAATAATTGGATTCATCAAATCTATACTCTGTGGGCCTGTATGGGAGGTCTGACTTCCCAGACAGTCTTGAGGACACCCACCCTTGCTCCCTGCCTGGATGAAGTACATGTGTAAAGCAGCCTGGGTGAGTGCCATCAGCCCCAGCAACATAACTCAGTTGTGTGAGATGTGTACTTCTCTCATCTCTGAGCTGCATGTAATGATTTAGGTAACTGCTATCAGGGAATACGCAAGAGTCCTTGCCTCATACTTAGAGCAAATAGTAAAGAAGTCCCAAACAATCAGTCCTTTGGTGGTTTCAAAGATAATTGAAGCAGGACACAACCTTGGAAGTTTGGATCAGAATAAAGAGACTTACAAGGGGTACTATGATTCTGAATTGACTCTGTGGCACATGACAAGAAGAAGAAGGAGGTAATCATGTACAGTGTGATGAGGTCTGGAATAAAGATGTGCAATAGGTGTCAGGAGTAGCCAGCTACCTGGGAATTTTCTAAAGACTTCAAAAGGTGGTGACCTTTGAGTTGTCTTCAAGGATGAAGACAAGGATACCAGACAGAATGGGAGAATGCATTGCATTCCTGGAGGTAAGGAGGATAAGTGCAGAAGCTCAGGTTTGAGAGAGTCTGGCACATGCAAGGCAGGGTAGATAGTGGCAGTCTCAGACAGACAGCAGATTGATGGGAGTAATGAGGAAAATAAGCATGAAGAAACAGTATGGGCTAGATTGTACTAGGGTACATACTCCAAACTAAGAAGTTCATGTTGATACTGTTGATGATGGTGTTCATTGCTGTCATGTTGATTCTGACTCATGGCAGCCTCATGGGTTGCAGAGTAGCAGTGTTCCATAGCCTTGTCAAGGCTGTGGCCTTCAGAAAGCTGATCTCCAGGCATTTCTTTTGAGGTGCCTCTGGATGGGTTCAAACCTTACTGTTATGGGACAGTGCAAAGAATGGGTTCACAGTGGACTTTTTTAAGCAGGAAAGGAATAACTTAGATTGTTTTTTTAGTACCAAGGACTGGTAGCATTTTAGAGAACGAATGGGAGTGAGGAGAAACTGGTGACAAACAAACCCAGAGACTGAGCTGATCTGGTCTGAATTGCAGCACGTACCTACTAGTTGCCATCGAGTCAACTCCAACTTATGGTGACCCTATGTGTCAGAGTAGAACTGCTCCATAGGGTTATAAGCAACTGATTTTTCAAAACTAACATCTCTAAGCCTTTCTTCTGAGGCACTTCTGGGTAGACTCAAGCCTCCAATCTTTCCTTTAGCAGCCAAGCTAATTAACTATTGCATCACCCAGGGATTTCTGGGTTGCAGAAGTGGCCTTAAAAAGGAAGGGTAGGATAATTTCAGAGAAAAGAAAAATCTCTTCTTACCAACAACCAGCTGTATACCTCACAGCTGCATGATGGTCTTGGATGAAATGATTCCTGAGGCTCCTTCCAGCTCTGTTCTGTGATGTTCTGAGAACCCTAGTTCAAGACTCTTTCCACAGTGCCATTTTGAGTCTGCTTTGAGGTAGGCTGACAGTTCCAGAAATACCTGCTTTCTCTTGTAAGAACCCAAATTTCCTAGAGCTGCTGCTGCCTGGAGTCAGCACTTTATTCTTCACTTTACACCAAACCAAAAATCAGACTCACTGCCATCAAGTCAAATCCAACTCATAGCGACCCCTCCTTAGGTTTCCAAGGTGGTATCACTACGGAAGTAGATTGCCCAACCTTCCTTCCGAGGAGTGGCTGGTGGGTTTGAACCGCCAGCCTTCTGGTTAGCAGTCTAGTGCCTTAGGCACTAGGCCACCAG